GGGGGGGGGGGGGCAGATTGTCAAAAAAAGAAATGCATAAAACCAGCTGCATGTTTTTGCCCACTAAACTGACTGCTGTGGGAAAAAAGTGTAGAACAAGATTAATGCCAGAAGAGACTTAATTCACATTGCAGATATACATTTCTTACTCTGGGGGCCACCCATGGGGTGGGGGTTAAGAGGCTGACCATAAACCACAATGTATCTGGTTTGAATCCAGCTAGGGACCCATGCATCTCTCTCTTTCTTTCTTTTCCTGTCGTCCCTCCACTGTTCTCTCCACTGCTCTCTAATAATAAAGACACAAAATGACACCCCTAAAACCATCCATTTTATTTATTAATCTTGAGATTTAATGTGATGGTTATAGAGTGTAATTTGTTGTCTCACAGGTTTAAGTTTTGAGTTTTAAGTTGGAATGATGTCTGACTTTTAAAAAACTGTGTATAATATAAAATATTAAATAAAATAATAATTGATGTCATGTTTTTAAATTTATGAGGCTGGTCTTGTACATTTCTTGAGTCAATCAAATATAATATATAATAGGTCTTGCTTCAAATCAAAGAGTAATATGGACTATGTATCTATTTGTGTTTGAATGTCTAATACTGTAATGAAACTTAACATGCTGTGTTCTTTTCTGTGTCAGTGGTGTATCAGGGCATGAACATGACCGTCTGTTACCCCAGTGTGGGACAAGATGGCATCCAGAATGAAGGCAATGCTGTGGCCATAATTGGAGCTGCCATCATGTACTGCTGTGTCCTCTTTGCATGGTGAGTAGATTTTGCACTTAAGAGTGCAATAACAAAAATAATGTTACTTTAAGACCTCTGAAAGGAGGCATTATGTGGGGACAAATGTGTTGAAATAAAATTTTTTCTCCAGTAATGAAGCTTCCTACCTGGCAGAAGTGTTCGGCCCGTTTTGGATGATCAAAGTTTACCGCTATGAGTTCCAGAAAGCCACCTGCTGCTTCTGCTGCCCCGAGGAAGAGGAAGGTTTGTACTGATGCACTTAACAGTACATTTAGAATTTCTTTCTTACAAAATTACTCACAGCGATTAATTTATTATTGAAATAATTTGTGATTAATTTAATAGTTGACAGCTAATCAATAAATTGTTGCAGTTGTAATTTACTGGACAGTGTATACAAGTTACTGTTTTCAGTGATTAAGCCAAGAAAATGTAAATTTGGTCATTATTTCAGTTGACTTTGGATTAGTGGCAGCCACAATGACTGACTGTGATAAGCTGACACTCCTGTCAATCAAGAAAACATGTCAAATGAAAGCTCTTGATGAGCCAAAAGGTACATGCACAAAAAAAAGGACAAACAATGGTCATTTATTTTGTTTTAGCTCTCCTGTAAAGTTAATATCACTTACATCCCTCTGGTTCTCAGCCCTTAAATAATCTTTAAGCCTTTAATACGTAAGTACCCTTTGGAGATTTGGCCATTATTAATATTATGGAGAAGTGGAAGAAGACTGCTAGTTGTTAAACATGCATGAAACAATGGATGATTTTAAATACAAGGGATAAAAGGCTTTGCACATATTGACTTTTTTATCAATGGGATTTATTTTAGCCAGTGTCCAGTGGCCATGAACATAGCACCTTCAACAAGTGTGTACTGTATATTCAAAAACTATTTAAAACAAACTGACATCTCCAAACAGGATATAAAATCATGGATGGGCAATACATTTAATATTTTATACTATAATATCTAGTGTAAGTGCCGTCCTCAATGGTCTGATAGTCTCTGAGAATAAATACAGTGCTTTTTGGAGCTTGCTGCAGGCTCCAGCTTTGATGAGAGACATTTATAAATGTGTCTTTTTCAGCTGAGGAGGAGTTTGTGATCGACGACGAGAACAAAGGCTGCCAGAAGGTTATTCACAATGAGACCCAGAGAGTGGCTTACAGCTACTTCTTCTTCCATTTTGTCTTCTTCTTGGCCTCATTGTATGTCATGATGACCCTCACTAACTGGTTCAGGTTAGTTAACGACAGCACACTTAATGTTTTCATCCAAACACTCATTCATATTTTTGTTATTTCTAAGGGATATATATATATATTTACATATATAATTATTAGGCAAAAGAGGGGATAAGAAAAAGTAAAGGGTTATATATTTTTTTATTTCTCCTAATTACCCTCCCTAATAGAGGGGAAATCCATATTTATTGGGACAGTTGGAGAGGGTCTTTACAGTTTTTGGTTCAAGAATTACTGGAATTAAGGCTGTCATTATATCAGATTTTCCCTACAGGATTATCATGACCATAAGAATTCACTATAACGATATTATCACAATATCTATAGAAAATTTGGAAAAGAAAATGCAGTAAGTCAAATTCATGTGTTTTTTGTCGCTTTTTTTGGACTTTAGGGAGGTGGAGAGAGTCTGTAACCATAACTTTACATAAGCGTACATAAAGCACAATTAGTGTAATGAAAATGATTTAAGAGGTGCTGAATGTTTATTCTTAATATGATATCAATGTAAATGTTTTTAAATATCATATATATATAAACAGGAAGTATCATTTTGTTATGTTTGCCATAATTTTGACAATTGCTATTTTGGCTTCTTTTGTGTGATTTGATGGCTATATAAGGTTTAAATTGGAGTATATCAAGATGCTTTGTGCGGATGTATAAAAAGAAAGCTGAAACATAATGCTCAGCTCCCCTCCTCATCCCAATAATTTTAGTTGTTGAAGTAGCACTGAGTTAAACTGTGTTGTCCTCCTCCAGCTATGAGTCAGCAGTGTTGGAGACCACCTTCACCCACGGCAGCTGGTCTACCTTCTGGGTGAAGATGTCGTCCTGCTGGGCCTGTGTGATCCTCTACCTCTGGCTGCTGCTGGGCCCTCTGTGCAGCTGTCAGTCTGAATCCAGACCTCGCCGTTCACGCATCAAACGCCGCTCAGCGTCTTCCCGTCACGTCACTGTCAGCGTCTGATACTCTCTGTGAGGGGCTGGGCAGGATGGAGGCAGACAGGGCGCGATGTGGACGAGAGGTCAGATGACTCTGAGCCTCCCTATGGTGCCCTGTGGGAGGGGATTTTCAGGAATGGAGGTCACAGGGGTCAGGGGTCAAAGACTCACCGTGCTATGAGAAGGACCAGTCAGAGGGCTCAATGCTCAGTGTCCTGTTGATTGAGTGTGGTTTGGAAACACACTTACAGTATGAATTGCCAAAGGGATCAGAAGATATGAAATGTCACTGTGGGAATTACAGTAAGTAGGTGTAAAGATGGGATACATTTATGAATTTATACTCTTTAATTTTAGTGTTATTTTAAATCTATGGTTATATTTAGACTTTTAATATTATAAAGGTAAGGAATTATAGATATTTGCTCTAATATTGCTACAGAGGCACACATCCCAATTATGTTTTTTATTTTGATAAACAAACAAATCTGCCCTAAACAACCCAGTGTCGGTCCTGTAATCTTAGACGGGCAATCGATGGTTGTGATCATGAAAACATCTTTCTCAAAGTTGGAAACAGAACTGTGGGCCAACTGCAGCAACTGTGTGCGTTCAGACATAACTTCTGATGCAAGAGACTTCAGTATCTCACAAAAACTGAACAGTACAGTAACAATAATCAAAGAAATTAAATATTTATCCATGCCTGTGGTGTCCAACCATATGTGAGTCATGGTTTTATTTTCAGCTAAGTACTACAACAGATGTTGTCTCTGTGGTTTTATCTGTGTAATCAGCAGGTGTAGTGTTTGGTTGGAAGCAGAATTTTAGGCTTTTACTCTCTTTGAAGCTTTTTTTATATCTTTAAACTCACTTTGAAATTTAAGTTTTCTATCCAGAATTTCACTTTCCATCTAATTACTTTATGACACTACATTTAAAAGATCAGCTACTCATCTTGCAAATTCAGTTACCAACAAGCCTTAAAAAAATTGTTCAGCAATTTGGGAGATCCACTGCGCCTAGAGAGGAATGATTTCAGTACATAAGTTCACGTAAAACCACAACTTATTTCATTCTGTTTGTTTACAGAATAAACAGATGAGCTTTAGAGGTGCGGCTTGGCGTGTGCTTGAGATTTGGCTAGCTGTATCCCATTTCCAGTCTTTTTGTTAAGCTAATTGACTCCCAGCTATAGCCCAATAGCTAACGCACAGTAATGAAAGTGGTGTCAAACTTCAGTACAACTGCAGTGAGTTAGTCCAAAACTCGCAGCTGGAATGGCAATGAATTGAAGTCACGCTGTAGCTACGTCGTATAATAGCATTAACTTTATTTCATTTAGTGCTAACAGTCACAAACCAGAAAATGTACAGACAGAACAAATTTAATTGCATCCTGACATTAAATTATGAACTTTGTCCTTTATACCTGTCAATGAGGCAGCTTTGGGGTTGGTTGTTATTTCCAGCCAAAAGCCAAAGAAAGATTTGTTCATGTATTAAAATAAACCCTGAAATGTCCAGGATTGTGGAAATAACAGATTCACTTTCAGTATTTTCTCTGCATCTTTTCACAAGATTGATTTTGAAATGCTCAGTGACAGAAGGTCTGCCAGAGGTGACTGAGAGGCAGCTAATCAAAAATGTATGATGTTCTCCAAAGTTCAACGCTTTCACACAGATTTCTTAAACTGGGGCAAAAGATACTTTGCATTTGACTTACAAAGATGAACAAGTTGCATGCTTGCATTATGTTGCTTTACAGTACATTATTCACTTCTAAATTAATTTAAAATGTCCAGATAGGATTGATTCTTGTTTACATTTTGTTTTGCATATGTTATGCTATTTAGCAAACTTAAAAAAACTGAAACCAAGAGTGCTCAAAAAACAAAAATATTCTAAAACTGACTTCCAGAAGGGATAGAAGCTCTCTGTCTCATGCCTTCAGATGAAGTAGTCGTGTCTGCAAGACGCTGAGGTGAACTGTGTTGTGACTCTAAAGTAGCTTCCCCATGTTGATGTTGGTGTGGAAACCTGGGACTGGTTTCTAGATCTCTCCCCTCTACTGAAGGGATACCGAGCAGAGTGTCTGTGATGACTTCCTCACAGTTAATGAGCAGTAATCTCAAAAAAAGGAATATATATGTATATAGTTATATTATCTGCAGTTTCATGTAGTGTTTCCTTTGTTGTAGATGTGAAGCTTGTTTTGTAAATACATTGTTTTCTTACAAAAGCTGCTGTTCCCATGTCTGGTTTGTTAAACTGTGTGTATGATAAAAACACTTGTGTAGTCAGCTTTAATTCCAAATGATATTGCAATGGTTGGATTATGTTAGTTTACATTAAGAAGAATGGATCATTATCATCCAAACACTCTACAGACTTTTGGCACATGTAGATGAGGTTTGAGAGAAAATATTATATTTCAAATGCATAACGCGAGGCACAGAAGTAAGCTGACTATTTAACAGACTGCAAAGTTTTCTCAAAACAATTATAGTCAAATTATACTTTAGTATATTTGTAGCTAATCAGTGCCAACAGTAAAATACTGTATATATTTCATAATCTCTTCCACATGAAGTATCACAAAGCAGACCTGATTTAACACACTATTAAAAAAAATGAATACCACAAAAGGAGCAAAACACTGTGAAAGATGCTAAACAGGTGACACGCAGGTAATGTTATGGTTTAAGCTTATTTTGTTATACATAAATACATTGTGAAGCAATATGTTGTTACTATATCTTGAGTTAAAACTAAAGAAAAAATCCACCTCTTATTCCTGATTGCATGTTGTAATTTGGTATTTTGCAAATCCATTTTCCCACTATTTAATTCTGCTTTACTACATTTCCAAGATGCCTTCCAAAGAACCCCCGCTGCAGTTACATGTGCTGTTCGAAAGATAATGATGAGTCAAATTTAGGGAACCAAAATGGGATTTTACCCATTGTTATTGGTTTATTGGTTCCCTAGTTGAGAAAAATACATAACATGCTATATATATGTGAATTCATTTTCCTAGATTAACAATAAAGGAAGATTGTCTTCTTCTGTTGTAAGTTGGGAGGGCATGTAGAAGCGCAGATACCTTATTATGATATCCTCAATATTCCTCAACATAAAAACACTGGAGTCTCATTCATTATATAACGATACTTGGGTTTGTTTTATGACCTGGTCCCTTAACTTTGCAGGACTGACACCAAAACCAAAAATTTCTGTTGATATCTTAGATCAGTAAGAGATTTGTTGCTATACCAACTCTACTGACCTGCTGGATGATGGATGAAATCATTTGGGCCAATGTGTCTCCAGAAATAAACAGAAGACAAAGTGGT